GCTTGAAACACTCCCAGCTCTTCATCTTGCCAGTTCCTGCAGCTACTCAGCTTCAATGTCATTACCTCAGAGAAGCCTCCTCTATACCCAAAACCAAGGTAGCTGCTTGATTAATCTATCTCATGATCTTATGTTATCTTATCACCACCATTTGATGTTTTCTTGTTAACGTATTTTTTATTGCTTGTCTACCCCAATGACTAGAAGCTCCATGAGAACACAGATCTTTTATTTATTCCCAGTGCTCAGAATAAAGTCTGGCACATAGTAGGGGCGAAGTAGAAGTTTATGGAATGCATCAATGAACAACCACATGTGCAATTTTTATTTATGTAGATATGTGTTGCTGATGTAAGCACTTTATGTGAATGACTTAATCCTCAAAATATCCTCAAGTAAGGATTCCTGTTATCTTACATGTGAGAAATTGAGGTTTAGAGAAGTCGAGCAACTTGCCCGATGTTACACACCTGGAAATGGTAGAGGTATAATTTAAACAAAGGACTATTTGACTCCAAAGTTTGTGATCTCACTTTTTCAGTGACTCCCCCCCCCCTTTTTTTTCCAAATCTCAATATTCTAAAACTCTAAGAGATAAAAATCCTAGCCATTCTCTTGGGGACAATAAGGCCCAGAATCGGTCTAAGTGGACATCCCAATAAACATGGCAGAGACTGGACGTGCTTGGAATTCTCTTTGAAAGAAATTGAGAGGGGAGTAAAGGGTACTTGGTAGGATAGCTTTAGCCTTCAGGAGAAATGCTTGTGACAAAAATACACAGGCAAAGGTCATGATGGCATGATGGTTTCATATGCAAGGGGTTGATGTGGGTGGGCCATTGGGGGATGTGTGAAGTACAGTCCTTCTTTGAATGGATACAGAATCTGAAAAGAAAATAATCTCAAGGTTTGGAATTACTGTAATTGAAATGTGAATATATTGTTGGTTGTTGGAGAGAATCACAAAGTCTGAATAAACTCCGTACAGAAGAAAAAATACAATATAACAAAATGACAACATATAATAGAAATTGAAAGACTTATTTGAAGTTCAATTGAGTAAAACATCCAGCTGTCAAAGATTCAATTTCTTATATATTTAAAGTGTAGTTAATCTTTATGTAGACTTTTACATTTAAGAATATAAACTGAGCCAAGGAAAGCTCTTTTATTTCCTTCTATGAGGACCTGAATTCATCCTTTTCATCATTATGTACTCAAGAATAAAAGCCAAAGTGATATTAAAATAAGAAAAGTGAAAACTTTTCATGTCTGAAAAGGATGTTATATATTCTTTTATATGTTAGAAGTAATACATGTATATGTGTCAGTTTCTGATGTTTAGGGATAGCCATATGGCAGACATGAAATCTTACTGCTTTATGTAGTAACTGAAAATAGTTTGTTATTTTCCATGTTTTTTCCTCCCTCAATTCAGAACATTGATCACCTTAAAATATTCATACTTTTAAACATTTTTACCAATGTTTTAATATTGCTCAAATTGAAGTTAAACTTACTGTTGTAAATTATTATAAAAATGCTTTAGATAACTGGTATACCAGTTATATTTACTCCACATGGAGGTTATAACTAAGGAGTCAGGTAAATTATAAAATACTTATTGCTAAAAATGGTTTTATCTTGAAATAATTTTAGGTTTGCTAAAAGTTTTTAAAATGGTACAGAGAGTTCATTGTATTCTTACTTGAATGTTATCATCTTACTTAAGGATAACATGATTGATTATCAAAACAAGGAAATTAATAATGTTATATAATTATGAAATATAGACCTATTCCAATTTTCCACTTATCTCTCCCTTTTATACTAGAATCCAATCCAGAATCACATTTTGCACTTGTTGTCAGGTCTCCTTGGTTTCTTCCAATCTGTTGTTACTATTCCTTTGTCTTGCTCTATGAGGAATCTTTCTAAAATGCCAAATAGATCAATCTATTCACCTGCTTAATATGTTGATGGCTATTCATTACTTTCATAATAAAAGACAAACAGCCTTGCCTGCAAATGGCCAACATGTTAGGCTCTGTTTCATCTCCTAAACACTCTTCTAACCTTACTTCACTCCACTTTATGGCACACCATCCACATTCGGGGTATGCTCTGCTAGTGATGGGTTCTCTCTTGAGCCACACCCAGAGGCCCCTGTATGTAGCACTCCCTCTGCTAAAAGCCTGTTTCTAAATGTTTATCAAACACTTATTTGATTGTACTCCATGCCAGGCTCCATTCTAGAAACTGTAAATATAATATGAAGCACATCACAGTTCTTGTTAAGGATCTGTCTCTGCAAGGGAGGAGACAGACATACATAAAGACATGCTTACACCAAAGCACTCTCTTAGAGAATGCTTTTTGAGAAATGTCCTGTAAGTGGAGGCTTGATGGATACAAAGGAGTTTGGCCTGGAAACAAGAGGAAACATCTGATGTGCACAAAGAAGCTTCTCAGCATTCTGAATGAAGACAGTGAAGTGATGGACAGGAAGAGGTGAAGAAGAGGGTGGCTGTGTAGTCAGGGATGCCTGCTTCCTAAGGAGCTTGGGTTTTATTCTTCACATCAAGACCTAATGAGAATAATCCTTTTGCATCCTACTAGGAGGTTTTCTAGATCAACTGTGAACATTGTTTCCTTTAGAAAGCCTTCCAAAATTCCCTTCCCTCTTTAGATATTCATAACTTGTGCTCTCTGGTACCTGAGGAAGACCCTCTGAAGTTGACTGTCAAGCTGGATTATATTTTAAGCTCTGTCTTCCTCGGTATCCGCCCCTTTGAAGGAAAAAGGGCTGTTCTTCCTCTCCTGTATCCTAGCATCTAGTGCAACATGGAGCTCTTGAGGTTCAGATACCAGTACCAGAGCACCTCTAAGGAGGCCAGACAGAGTGTAGGGAACTAACATGTGCTGCTCCTTAGAATTTCCTTCCAAGTCAATGGCACACAGAAGTGCTTAGCATATGGTCTGTGCCAAGCTGAGCACTGGAATTAGCTGGGTACAATGGACTTCTGGAACAGGTTTTTGAATCTGAAAAGAGGATGTGATGACTTCCTAAAATTAGTTACTTTAACTATAAATAACTGTTGATTGGGTTCTGCTAATGTATTTTATACTATAATGTATTTTACAATGTGCTCCAGAACTGTTAAACTTATTCCTCTTTCCTTTTTTCTTCCCTTTCTTCCTCTTTCCCACTTTTACTAGCAATTCTTAGACAAGGGCTTTTTTATGAAGGAAGTGATGGGAAGAGAGCTTCTCCTTAAGGCGTGCAATGCCTGGGCTGGACTCATGGCCAAGTTCCCTGTCTGGATTCTGGGGTGACCAATAGCATTGGCATAGATGGTGGGTGGGCAATCTGCGCTGAGTCTTTGGTGTCCCAGGAGGCTCAGTTTCTGGAAGGGGAGGACCTGGGGTGGAGCAATGACAGAGTGAAATCTCTTTTAGAACAGTCTGTCCTCATTGCCCTTCTTTCTCTACCAGGGTGAAGGGCAGGAGGGAAAGGAGGGAATTATTTCCCATTGTCTTTCATCTTAGACCCTTGGCTTTGAAGGCAAAGTATAACTCTTCCTATTTTCTTGGAGCAAAGGTGTTAAATGCAGTTGGCTTTGCAGCTTCTGGCAAGTTAAAAACAATGCCTATCCACATGACTTGTTGATTTACACCAAATTCTAATGTTTTAAAAAATCCTCCCTGCAATCCCTGTTGCTGGCTCAAGTGAACACCCTTGTAGGGTTCCCATGTTGTGGGCCCTAGTGATCATCCTTGTGGGGTTCCCAAAAGAGCGTCAGGCTTATTTTCCAGTATCTGGTTTGTATGTGCTGCTTTTGTGTTGGGCTCTCCCCAGCACATTGCCTTGTAGTCCTTGAGGGAGGAAGCCAGCAGCCTCCAGCTTCCTTTGGAACTTCCCAGTTCCTCTACCCACAGCCTCTGCACATCTGTTCACTCACCCCAATCACTGATTTCAAATGCTGTATGCAGGATTGAATATCTCATCTTCAAATGAAAAATAAGCACCTTGCTTTGTGTCCATTCCACCAGCACTTTTGGGTGCAGATGCAGAGGTGAGCAGCTTTCAGGGTGAGAGCACCAAGGATGGCTTCTCTCCTAATTATCTCCCTCGACAAAAATCAACAATCTCACAAAATGAACAGCTCCCAAGCACATCTCCTTTGCCCCTCTCCGAAAAATCAGTACAGAGTGGTTAGGTGCCCAAGTCCTCAGTGCCCTTCCCCTAAGTTCAGTGACCCTGCAGTTCACCTTGCCTTTTCAACTTCCCTTTCTTGATCTGTAAAGTGGGAACAGAAACTGAAATCTATTTCATGGGGATGTTGTAAGGATTACATGAGATACATATGCAAAAATGTTCATCACTAAAGACGTAGTAGCTATTCTTAATAATCAAGACAAACAGTTTGCTTCTCTCCTGGGAAAACGGGAGCTTGGCTAGCCAGACTCAATGTATCCTTAGCCTTTAAGGCCCCTATAAGTTCTATTACTTTGGGGCCCGGGTTCGGTTCGAGGCGCCGCGTGCCAGGGACCCTGATCCAATTGCACTTGCCCAGTAAGACTGACCACCCGCTGCTCCTGCAACAGCACAGGTGCGACCTTGACCACACTAAAGACGTGGACGCAGGCGTGGCGAGCAAACGTATGAGAAGGCCAAGTGCGCCCCAAGGACTGGGAGCAGGCCTTGACCTCAGGTTTGTCAGTATGGCACCGAGGGGGTGGGGGTGCTCTGAGCGGTTCCGAAGAAAGCCGCGGGGCAGCAGGCTCTGAGGGTGCAGACCTGCGCTCCGGACTCCGCCCCGCCCTCAGGAACCCCGCCCCGCCCCCGACACCCCGGGTTGGCTGGAGCCGCGGGCCACGCGCGGCGATTCGCCACACGTCGCGTCATTAGAACCGCTGCGGGTTAAGGCTCCTGCTGGCTGGTCAGGGAGGTTGCGGCGGGGGAGGAGGGGGCGGCCAGGCGCGACGCTGCCAGGCCGCCCCGCCCTGGGAGGCGCCCAGGCCCTCATCAAGTGACCAGTATCCCTTCCAGGAGAACACGGTCCTTCTGAGGGAAGCGAGCTCCAGCCTGTATCCCCGGCGCCAAACCGCCGTCATCTCCTTCCTGTGTCGGGTGATCTTTCTCCTCACCCACCCGGAAAAACATAGTCCGCCCCTCACGTCCTTGTGGAATAGTGATCGTTCCTAAATAGTGTGACTCTTTTGCCCGCGCCTCCGTATTCCCCATTCTATGTACTCTGGACGCAGCAAGAGGAGAAATTACCACAGAAATATTAAGGGAGAAACGAGAGGGAGCCGAGGGGCAGTAAGGAAAAGGCCAGGCTGGCGGAGGGACACCGAGCTGGAAGGCGGAGTGCGCACGCGCGCAGCAAGGAACAAGTTCCGGTCTGGCCGAGGCCTGTCTCCTAAAAATAGCCCCGGTGTGGGGATCCGTGCGCCGATGTCCCGGCGAGTCCCGGGCTGAAGGAGGCGGCTCTGGGCGGCGCGGAGTGCTGTGGCGGGCCGGGGCTGCGGCGTGTGCACGCTCGCCAGCTGTGCCGGAGATACGGTGAGGGCCGCGGACTGCGGAGCCGGCAGTGCTGGAGGGGGCGGTGTCTCGGTGAGGGGGCCAGGTAGGGCTGGGGTGAGGGTTCTGGGGTGTGGGGCAGCGCGGACGAGGAGGGGCGCCCGCAGGGCTCCGGGGACCCCCAGACTAGCCTCTGTGCGACTGGGAGGGGATCGGGGTTGCGGGTGCGCGGCGGCTGGGCAGGTAAGGTACTGAGGGGAGGCAAGTGGTGTTTGGGTTGGGGTTCTTGAGGAGGGGCTTGGCGCCCGGGGGCGAGGTGGGGGCGGGGTGTCCCGAGGGCGGGCCCGGGGGGGTCTGATGGAGCGCTGCGGAGCGGGCGCGGGGAGGCTCGGCCGCGCGGGTTCGACGCTTGCAGCCTCCCGGAGCGCGCACTGCCTGTGGGTCCGGGGAGCTGTGGTGGACGTAGCCTTCTTGAAAGTTGAAGGAGTTCCTTGGGGGCCTCGGAGCCTCTCGGTTTCTTTCTCTTATTCTGGGAGGCCGAGGATTTCTTCGAAGGGATTGACCCCCTTCGTGCGGGGCGCGTCCTACCCTGTTGTTGGACTTGGAAGAAGTTCCCCCGCTTCTGCTTTGGGAGAACATTGGTCTAACAGGGAGAAACATTTAGGTCTGAACTGTGCGTGCGTGCGTGTGTGTGCCAGTGTCGGGGTCCTTATTTGGGGCGGGCCTGGGTTGAGGGCACCTGCGGGTGCGGAATTCGACAGCTTAGGGAGTCGCGTCGCGGGAACCGAGGGGGCATTCAAATATGTCCCAGCACGGAGGGATCATGGTGTGTGGTAGAAACTTTGTCTTTTGATTCGGTATCATCTGTCTTTGAACATTGAGGGTTAAAAATAGAGGATAGTTCAAAAAAGTTTGGGGAAGGTGAGCATTTCTGAATTGGGAAAAAATGCTTTTTCCCCCCGCCCCCAATAAATGTAACTATAAAATTGTTGCTCAGACCTGAAATAGATTTCGGAGCTGTGAAAGGAGCCTCCTGTCATGATCTAGTGGGAAACTGTGTGTAGATTGAGTACATCATAGTGTGAACCTGTATTTTAGGGAGATTGGGATTCAGTAACTGTGCTTTTAGAAAGACCTGCTGTGATGTGTTAATAATGGTATACGTATTTTAAAACAAATGTTGTCTAACATTTTCCAAGTTTTTAGCACAGCATGTTTCCCTTGCGTCTTGTATCATCTATTAGTATATAAAGCAGAGGTTCTCTAAAGCTGTAATTAGGTATATATTACACAAGAGTACTTTCCCTTTAAGAATCCAGCTGTGTTGTTTTGACAACTGCTAAGTACTCTAGTTGTCAGTTTAAAAATCTTTGTTACCTTGGCAGTACTGAACAGTCTGTGGAAAAGGTAAACAAAATAGTTTTTTTAAAAACATACAAAAATGACATTTAGAAAAATAATGTGAACTTAGGAAGTGAGGATAAAAATAACTATTGTACTATTATGGCTTTTGTATGTATGTTTTTTTATTTTGTTGTCTATCTTCATTCATTACTTCTGTAAATGGCAATTTTTAGAGAGTCAAGTGTTTTACTAATGCTTTATAGAGTTTATAGTTTATATTAAATATTATGTTTATACAAATGTCATGTTTATAAACATGTCTGTATGTCACATGAAACAGATTAATATTTGTTGTATATGGTAGCGCATTCATAGATACTGGAATCACCTTTATTTTAATTTTATTAAACATAGTTGCAAAGTGGAGATAATAATGTTATAATATTGAAAGTCTTCTGAAAAGGTACAACTAGCAATTTGGAGGTAGATTCTTAATTCTAAGAGTGCTTCCAAGTGATATTTATTTATTTACTAAAGCAGTCAATGCTTATGAAGTAATAGTGAACCTCTCTGAACACAATTATTTGCTTACCTATTTAATTCACACTATAGTTACATATAAAATTATGGCCCTTTTCATGTTAGGAAAAAGGTGTTAAAGTTAAACTTAACTTGTCCTGTTTTTTAAAATTACATTATTGGGGGGTGTTTAGAGGAAAGGAAATAGCTTATTGAGTCTCAAAGATAATAATTGTAATGTCACCATGTTAAATTAGTTCCAGAATAGTTTTCATCTGTGTAAAGGGTTTTTTGTTTAAAGGGTTTTTTGTTTGTGTTTTTCCCCCCAGTAGGGGAATTAAACTTAGGGACACTTAACCACTGAGCCACATCCCTAGCCCTTTTTTAATTTTTTGGGACAGGGTCTTGCCAACTTGTTTAGGGCCTTGCTAACTGTGTAGAATATTTTATGTGTCCATGTGGCTATGTGTGACAAAAATTATTTGGGGGCATGGGTAAGTGTAATTGGAAATGTCCTTTAAAAATTTGAGTTGTCTCAAATGGCAGTGCTATATTTTTCAGAGCAATTTCATTATAACTTTGTATTTTCCATTTATAGTGCAGTGCAGTTTATTGATATTCAGTTAATAGTAGTGTCATTAATTATATGACTACCAAAGAGAAATATTTAACTAATATTCTGAGGGTGGTTAAGTAATTATAAAAATGTTTATTAGAACATAATTTTGAAGTTTAATGTAGTCTAGTCAAATCTTCTCACTAGATTTTATGTTTTGATTTAGGAAGAGGGAACCTATGTTTTTGATTTAGGAAATTTGTTAGTGGAAAGTAACATGCTTGTCAATTTTGGAAAGCCATTTTTTTCTCCTGCCTTTACTGCTTTTAGTTTGGCAAGAGGAATTTAATGTATACAGTGATGATGGCCATGGATCCTGGAGGCATTTCAATTTCAAATAGTCTGTCTTATATTCAGATCATATATCCCTTTTATTGGTTTGAAAGATGTATTCATGGAACATGTGGATGTTTCATAGTCTAGTGTAAGTTTTATCAGTGGAGGGGCAAGGAGAATACTGCTTTGTGGTTTGAAAATAATCACCATTACTTTTTTCCTAGATTAAAAAGAAAATCTGAATGGTCTTGGTAAATTGAGAATTGAGTGCCTTCTCTTTTGCATTGTTGAAATAATAAGAGAAGTATAAATATGGAAATCGAATCAGTTTTTCAGTTAGATAACCTCATGTTAGAGGTTCTTTAATATGTCATGCTGATTTGCAAGCCCTCATAAAGGAAGACTATTCGATTTTGTAGTCAGATCTTGAATCAGATACTAGCTTCACTACTGACAGAGTTATGAAATACCTCTGTAAAATGGGAAGACAATACACTACTTGCTTTAGAATTTAAATGAGATAATGAGTGTAAAAGTTTCTAATTCCTAGCTCTGCCTAAGGCTTACTATACAAAAATGCATATTGCCTTATCTCCCTCCATCCTTCTTTGCTTTCATCTCTTCCTTCCTATGAAGATTACGTATGGTCCCTGCATTCTTTTCCAAGTGTCCAGTATAGATGTTTAGTGTTTTAGACAAAAAAATTTTATATATTAATACAGGAGAATGCTTATATATTTCTTTTGGATAAAATATCTCAATGTCTTAAATTTCTTGTTAGATAATACATAAAATGTTTAGATTTTGGATCTACAATCACAGTTTGTTTCTAATTTCCATAAGCTCCCCCCATTTTTTTTTTTTTGTTGTTTTTTTAGTTAGAGTTAAGGGGCTAGAGGAAGCACTGGGTTCGATCCTTAGCACCGCATTAAAATAACCAAAATAAAGGCACACTGTCCATCTATACCCCCCCGCCCAACAAAACATGACTTGCAATATTGTTTGCCAGTCTGTGGCATGTCTTTTTTTTTTTTTTTTAACAGGTTTAACATATAGAAGTTTATTTAATTCAAATAGCTGCAGGCAGGAGCCTGCTGGTGTTAGTGCAAAAACTTCACAATATTAGTGACAGCATTTCTCAGTTTTCTGGGTTTTCTTTCATGCTATTGAATAACCCAAGTCTTCAGAACCTACTTTATTTATTTATTTATTTATTTTTTTTAATTTTTTATTGTTGGCTGTTCAAAACATTACATAATTCTTGATATATCATATTTCACACTTTGATTCAAGTGGGTTATGAGCTCCCATTTTTACCCCATATACAGATTGCAGAATCACATCAGTTACACATCCATTGATTTACATATTGCCATACTAGTGTCTGTTGTGTTCTGCTGCCTTTCCTATCCTCTACTATCCCCCCTCCCCTCCCCTCCCCTCGCCTCTTCTCTCTCTGCCCCCTCTACTGACATTCATTTGTCCCCCTTGTATTATTTTTCCCTTTCCCCTCACTTCCTCTTGTATGTACTTTTGTATAACTCTGAGGGTCTCCTTCCATTTCCATGCAATTTCCCTTCTCTCTCCCTTTCCCTCCCACCTCTCATCCCTATTTAATGTTAATCTTCTTCTCATGCTCTTCGACCCTACTCTGTTCTTAGTTACTCTCCTTATATCAAAGAAGACATTTGGCATTTGTTTTTTAGGGATTGGCTAGCTTCACTTAGCATAATCTGCTCTAATGCCATCCATTTCCCTGTAAATTCTATGATTTTGTCATTTTTTAATGCAGAGTAATACTCCATTGTGTATAAATGCCACATTTTTTTTTTTATCCATTCATCTATTGAAGGGCATCTAGGTTGGTTCCACAGTCTTGCTATTGTGAATTGTGCTGCTATGAACATGGATGTAGCAGTGTCCCTGTAGCATGCTCTTTTTAGGTCTTTAGGGAATAGACCGAGAAGGGGAATAGCTGGGTCAAATGGTGGCTCCATTCCCAGCTTTCCAAGAAATCTCCAAACTGCTTTCCAAATTGGCTGCACCAATTTGCAGTCCCACCAGCAATGTACAAGTGTACCCTTTTCCCCACATCCTCTCCAGCACTTGTTGTTGTTTGACTTCATAATGGCTGCCAATCTAACTGGAGTGAGATGGTATCTTAGGGTGGTTTTGATTTGCACTGGGTTCGATCCTTAGCACCGCATTAAAATAAACAAAATAAAGGCACACTGTCCATCTATACCCCTCTGCCCAACAAAACATGACTTGCAATATTGTTTGCCAG